GAACTGAACGAGAGGTGGCTACATACAGGGGACGCACAGCCCACGCCTTAACGAGCTTCGCTCCTAAAATACCACATGCTAGAATGAATGCCGTTGTTAAAGTGATACTAATAGACCTGCAGCAAATAGTTAGCACACATAGCTCTGTATTCACTGCCATCAGCCCTTGGAATGTCCGTCAACGTCAGTCACAGGGTGTCTTCGATACTGATTGAGTAAAACAGCAGCTTTTACATGGACACTTAAGGAGCTTATATTGACTCATGTGCTGCCTGAGTATACCTTGAATTATCAAGGGCCAATGACTATACTATCTATGACTTCAACCATTTGAAAAAAATGGTGGCATATCCACGGAGTGAATGATAGAGAGTGGGGCGAAGCATCCGTCCGTCCATTTGTTCTTGCTTCCGTCCGTCCATGCGTGCGTCCATCCACACATCCTTGTGTGCGTCTGTTCGTGCGTCCACACGTCGACCTGTGCGTTCGTCCTTGCGTTCGCTTATGCATCCGTTCCTGTGTCTGTCCATGCGTCCATCCGTCCGTTAAACCATCCATGCGTCCATCTATGCATCTGTCTGTGTGTCCGTTCGTACACCTATTCAACACTCGAAGTGCTACCATCTCACATCTTTTCATCATATATTCCTCAAATAGAAGCACCGTCATTCAGCGGACATTCCAAGAACTGAACGAGAGGTGGCACACGCACACCTTCTTTCGGCTTGCGCTTCGCGTCTACTTGCCACCTTTAACCACATTGAGTTCATGGTATATGCTAGTTTACTCTATTCATGGAACTGCGGGCCAACGCTGGCTAAACCTTTCTAAAACCAAGGAGGTTACACCCAGCGAGTTTAACGTAGCAACCCTTTCTTGTCAGATAGTGCTCAATGTATATGCCAATGGCTGCTAAGGGCTGATGAGAGACAGGAGAATGCGGTTTTTAGTTAACGCACACGCTGCATTTTTTTTATTGTTCAACAACGCACAGAAGAAATCTCCCACCGGCACCACCTTTGAGGTCAAAATCTAAGGCCCGTATTCACAAACGCTCCTTCACTTAAGGGCTCCCCTCGACTTGACGAAGTCAAGGCGGAGCGTGCTCCTCCACTCAAGGAGCCGATGTGTTTCATGAACGCTACTCGAGGGCTCCTTCGCCAAGGGCCGACTCGAGAAACGCTCCTTCACTTGACTTACGCAAGACGCATCTGGTAGCGAGGGTATGTGATAAAATACCACATTAAATAACAAAAATTTAGGTTGAAACACTTTGGATAGGTTAAAAAATTGTCGACTGTCATTAAATGTGTATACGGTGGAAGTATTAAGCGAGATTTCAAATACTATAAGCTAGTTTCGATATCAGGCAGGCACCATATTAGCCAAGCCACGCCAGAGCCGAAGCCGCCAGGATTAGATGCCGGTTTTGCGAAGACTCGTTTGCACGTGTGAACGAAGTTTTGTTGCACCTCGTGTCGTGGTGCCGTAGTGACGAACGGTGCAATAATGTCTTTCAACGATGACGGTGGCGTCGCGCGTGACGGCAGGAAGACCACCGCAACGCGGTTCGTGTTCATGCGTGAGGAGCGTGAACTGCTTGTCAATCTGGTGACGCGGCACAAGGCAGTTATTGAAAACAAGAGAACTGACGCGCTCACCAAGCGCGCTAAGGACAGTGCCTGGGAAAAACTGACGAGCGAATACAACAGCCAACCAGGCATTCGTCGCGTTACGGTGGCACAGCTGCGTAAGTTGTAGGACAATGAAAAGTCCAAGTGGAAGAAGAAACAGTCAGAGCAAAAGCGAAACTTGTATGCCACAGGTAAGTTTACGTTTGTTTGCTACTGTAATCGGGGAGTTTCGAATAGCACTAAGTTAGCAAGCCTCGTGGGCGTAGCGTTTGCGTATGGGTGTCATATATGAGTTTTCAAATTGCGTCTCTTGCGTAAGCTATCCGAAAACGCCCTAATAAGGGCATAGGTTCCGCTCTGAATTATATGTCGTAAATAAATGTGTACCTGCGAGAATTGTGCGAATCATAGGCGTGCACAGGGTCCTCTTTCAGGGGAAGGGGGTGACGGTTTTTCGCTTGCAGAAACATTTTTTAAATAGCATCACGTCGTCACCGTTCTTTTTTTTTTGTCGGCAAAATCTTCCTGCACTTTTTTTCGCCACCGGGTGGCAAGTGTGTCATTTCATTATGAATTAAGAAATGCTTTTGCTCAGTTTGAACGTGCTTTGCACTCTATATACATATATATTATATATAAGTGCAAGTTTTCGTTTCTTTGTCAGTATTTCTGTCTATTTTTGCAGGACATAATATTTTCTCGAACTTATATCACTTTACAGTTTTTTCTCTTAATTTCTTTTCTTGTATTTACTGATGTATATTTCTTTATTTACTTTGTACTAGCCACTCTTACTCGATTCCGTATTGGGCTTTGTAAGGTATGATGAATAAATAAATGAATGAGTAGTAGTAGTAGTAGTACATTAAATAGTTATCTGTGTACCATAAATTTTCGCTGCCTATTTCTCTCGCATATGCGTTGTCTTCCTTAAGCACTTTCTTTGTGCTGTCACTTGAAATTTCAATGTATCCACGTAACAACATTTTCGCACCTTAGGGGGCGGGCCATCTACCTGCCGGCCAATGAGCCCCTCATTGGCGCTAGTTGGAGCGGCGGCATCACACATGGGGACACGGCTCCAGAACCCTTATGACAGCGATGGAGTCCACCTCAATCAGCCAGTGCTTTCTTTATCGCCGTCACGGATTTTCGAGAGCATGCTCACTGGTAGCCAAGACAACACGGAAGAGCTGCTTGGTAAAAGACGAATGGGCAAAAACTGTCAGATGTAGCAACGGTCGTGCTGCTATATTGCATCAACTTTCTCATGTATACAATGTGGGAGGTGTTGCGTTTCAATGTTGTTTTGTTTTGTGACTAATGCCTCTGTTCCTACCATTTGCATATACATTTTACTAAAATTTACGTGTACAAATAATTCTCATTCTCATTACAAGAACATGCCATGTTGTTAACAGAAAGTAATGCTATGTAATAAGCCTGCTATTACTCTTTTGAAACGTTCCTAGCATAATTTGACGTGGTTCAGCAAGTACTTGTGTGACACATACATTTCACATCATGGGTGGCCTTATATTAAGCCCAACTTTGGAATTGTATTTCAACTTTGCTTTTGTGTGCAGATGCCCTTTTCCCAGCGCCACTTCCCGGCAGCAAGAGGCTGACTAGCCCACGAGCTAGTACTCTTGATTTGCCAGGGATAGAATTCGCCAATTGAATCAATATTTTTGCTACAACTGAAGCTCATATTCGTGAAGGACAGTCGCTTTCTTTATTGTGTTTGTGTCTGATACTGTATGCATGCACATGAAGTATCTGTCACCATGTGTGATTACTGGTAAGGGGCTTGCATGTTTGCAGAGTGACGGTGTTGCATGCCACCAGCTCACACTATTTATTTTCATATTTACAACTGTTATTACTTTTTATATTTCCATCACGTACTGATTTGTTAAAAATGTCGCGTGTTAACGTAGAAGCATGCAAACACACAAATATTTGTGCCTCTACCATAAAGAGGCTTTTCTGATTACGTCGCATGCCAGCAGAGCACCAGTTCTGCTTCTTTTGTATGTGCAGACACAACCAATTTCATGCCATGGCCAGCTGTTGGAGTCACCAAGAGCTATGGGTTTGCCGACATCGGGAGCACAGGCACCGCTAGTCATACGGCCCAACTGCATGCAACTATAAAAGTGTTGGCGACATGGCTTCTCGGGTTGTGTGACTAACATAAAACAGGAATATTGAAGATAAGTTATTTCTACAGTTTTATGTAAAATTAAGCCTGCCTTTTGCATGAAATATGTGGTTAACGTATATCACACACTTCAGAAAAAGGATGTGGGTAAAGTTATTTTAAATAAAATGCTGCTGAGGTATTCCGCAGTAAAGGTCTCTTAGCTACTGCCATAGCGATATCGAGGATGGACAGAACAGTATTATGAATTATGTGTGCAAGTAACAGGCCAGGCATGACCCGGATAAATTGCCACACTTTTCTTTTACTTTCAGGCCTGATGCGTGATATAAAACGTGCTTGTATTTATACTTGCAGCAGCATATAACAGTCATGCTGACAATGCTTACACGTGTTACGTTTCCCTACCTTATGCAATTGTATTGTGTGTGTGCAGACGAGACAATTCAGCCACAACTGCGATCGAGCGAGGGTGCTGGTTCCCCAGGACCTCATACTACACAGCCACCCACGGAAGGTGCTTGCGCAAGCTGTCCCTCTGACACCTTGGCAGTAGTTGCTCCTGTAAACGAGGGGTCACGAACAGCAGCAGCAGCTCCAGAAGAAAATGGAGAAAGTTTAGTTGGTGCAGGAGAACGCCCACGGCCAAAATCAACGCGAAGCCGCCTAGCAGCCATAGAGCGTGTGCTCGCCCCAGAAGCTACGGCCCGAATGGAGGCCCTGAAAAATGATGAGCAGCGCAAGGCACAGCTGCATGCCCTGGAGCTGCGCTTGCGTAAGCAGCAGCTCTTGCACCAACGAAAAATGCACAGGATGCAAGTGCAGCGGGAGCAGGAGCTGCATAAAATGCAAGTGCAGCTGTTGGAGCAGCAGCTGGAGCAGCAAAAATGGCGCTTCAACATCGAGCGCCAGAAGCTCCTTTTTGAATTACAGAAAAAACAGCAGCAGCAGTGCACAGAAACCCAGCCGGAACAAAAATAAAGCATGTGTGCAATCTCACACACCTGATGCTTTTATTCAAAAGACATCTGCAACAGCTCCATGTGTGATAACAAATATTTATTGTTGCGAGTCAGCAAGGATGAAAAGAAAACCTAAAACGTGACAAATTCAGGAACTTTTCAGCATGCTCCCGTATTTGAACATGCATAGATTTCGCAATCTGAGGTTGTTGGTCTACTCAAAAGAACATGTTACACAATTTATTCATTACGCGAGGTAAATGCACGAGTAATCAGCCGCATTCGGCATCGAGATCCGAGTAGGGTGTCGGCTTGGTTCACCACATCAGGCTGCTGCCGCCTTAAGTGTTGTGGGATAATCACAGGTGGTGGTTCCGCGTCTTGCCTTAGGACTGCAAGGTTGTGTAGGGCAGCACAGGCCGTTGTAATGACGGCGGAGCGCTCCGCCAAGTTTTGTAGCCCCATGTCTAAACACGGGAAGCGACGTTTCCACACGCCAAAGGCCCGCTCGATCGTGTTTCTAGTGCGGATGTGAGCTGCTTGATACCTATGCAAAGAAATCAATGTCGTATTACTGTACGAACCTACACTTATTAAACGATACACTTGAGTATTATAGCCAGGCCGCTAGTCAAAACTGTTGCTGCTAATATGCCGATTCTATTGTAACGTGGGATATATTCAGGGCACCAAAAACGATACATGTACCACGCTTATTGTAATAAAAGACTTCAAGCGCGATAGCTAGCACACACGTACACGTTTCGTTCTGGAGATGAAAGTTAAAGGGTTATACAGGCGTACTAACCGGCTCTCAGGGCTGTCCGGTGGCGAGTCAGACATCGGTGTCATGAGGAAAGACGTGCAGCGGTATCCGGCATCGCCAAGTAGGATACCTGGTACTCGTTTTTTCTCGTACAGAACACGTGCACGACTGTTGTCGAAAATACGACTGTCATGCGCTGATCCCGGCCAGCTCGAAACGACGTCGTATAATTGTAGCTTTGGCCCTGCAATCACCTATCGAAAATGCAATACATGTTATACTGTGCTTTTGTGCTGAAGCAGCCGTCTACTACGAACGTATTTAATGCCTGCATGATCTTGTTTCAGGGCAGTAGTATTCACTTATGTTTCAAAGTGCAAAGCTACCGTCATAAAAATTTAAAGCTATTCCTTTTGTGGGCCAATATCAGCTGCATTCACGGGACAGGCGTCATCGCAGACGAAACACTCATGGAATATATGTGACGCCATTCGGATCGCTTTGAAGCCAGCACTCGCAAGAGAGGGGTGATTTACCACTGCAACCAAAAACTTCAGTCCCCCTCTTCCACTCCACCCCTAGCATTGCAAATGAGACCTGGGCCTGCTCGCTCATCTCGCAAATTGCTTAGCGCGGACTGAAAGAGGACCGCGAGATAACATGTGATGTTTGGTGTTGTAGCAAGCAATCCATGGGTTTAAATCGCGCTTTGGTCTTTCTTGTGAATACAGCTTTACTGGGTTGCAAACAAGCTAAACGAAATAATAAAAATTCGCCACGTTGTTACAATAGCATGCACGGGGTTTTATAATCGAATTATCTACCATGAAGTTTTTTTTGCTAATATGCAGCCCATGGAATGCCTTGTGCAATGTTAATGTTGAATTACTACATTTTACTGCAAAGCTTTCAACGTTAGCAGCGAAGAATGAGCAAGTTACCTGAACATTTATGGAGAAGTACCCCTTCCGGTTGCGGTAAACTTCGCCATTTGGCCCACCAGGTGATTTGATACGGACGTGGGTGCAATCTATGCACCCTGTCACACCGGGAAACTTGGCGATCCGGTAGAATTCCACCATCGTCTCACGGAACCTGTCATCGGAGTTAGGGAAATTCACGACAGCCGGGAACAAGTGCTTCGCGATCAGCCGTGACACACGTTCGATGACGCGGCTCACCGTCGGTTGAGACACATTCACCAAGTCACCCATCACTACTTGAAAAGTACCCGCTCCATAAAAGCGCAGCGTAATCAGAAGCTGCATCACAGGTGGAAGAGGGTGGCCACGATTGCTGCAGCTCTCCTCAAATGGCAAGCACTCAAGTAGCTTCTTCACGCTGCTCTTGGTGAAGCGATAGCGGGCGAGAAATTCACTGTCTGTGAAGTGCTCCATGGGGTTCAACCGGTCTCTCAATTGTTGGCGTGGTATGCTTACACAGTCGTCCACGTCGCCAAACAGCTCGTCGACGCGGAGAACATAATCGACGAACGACGCGTAGTCCGCCATGATACTTGGCTCGAGGGACGATTCAAGGTAGCTCGATCACTTCCTTGGAAATCTCGAGGAAACGCTCAAGATTTTCTCAAGTGAAGGAAGCGTTTCAAGTGAAGGGTGGTTTGTGAATGCGAAAACGCCACTTGAGGAGCGTTTCGAGTGAAGGGTCGAGTGAAGGAGCGTTTGTGAATACGGGCCTAAGACTGGTTACACACTACGACGACTACTACTACTACGAGGGGCGAGCGGGTGCCGCTTTAAGGAGCTTCTCCCATAAAACAAAACCCAGGGTCCGAAACTCGGTGAGGCTAGGAACTCGTTATACCATCTCATTTAGGAGCAACAGGCCGGGTTCACACAGACTAGGCTGCTGTTTCAGAATCGCAACTTGTCAGAGCGTGTGATCAGTAACCTTTTCGCTAGTTGGCTCTATATTTCGCTAACGATTGACAATATCATTATTCAAATACAGGCTTTCGCGTTGCTTGTTGAGCACAGCATTCATTGTGTGCTCACTAATAACTGCACTGTGGAGCTATAAACACTTACGATAATACTGGTGAATTTCCCGTGCCGTGTGGCGGTAGGAGCTGCTGAAGGCCTTCCTCACACTGCAGTCAACTCGATGGCATAAACAAATGAAAAGTTTACCGTTTAAGATAAACTGTACAATAGTTCTTATTTTACATAGTTGGTATATGATCAACGAAGTCTAAAAAGCAGTGCGTGACACAGGACAGTGACAGAGACATCTCTGTAACTGTCCTGTGGTACGCGCTGGTTTTTTTTTTCGACTTCGTCGTTTAAGATAAAACTATGCGGTATGCAACCTATAGAAAAGCTTAGACCCCTTAGCCAGTATTGCAGACTATTTTCTCTAGAAAGATGTCACTATTTCAAGCTGAACGCAAACCGAAACGCAGTCATCTCTAACCCACTGAGAGTGTCCATTGAATTCACAACAGCAGATATAGTGTACATTGACGTCGCGCTGCTGAATAGTGCATTCAGTGAAGCAAAATGAAAGTACTTAGAACGGAAAACAGAAGCGTATGAGGAGGCTTATTGGAAAACGTTCTCGTCAGTGCTTCCCAGCGAAGAAGGACTGCAAGGTGTGTAAACAAGAGTTCATGAAAGACGCAAAAGCTATACGCGAGAGCGAGTGACGCTGCTTTGATGACCTTGTAATCCCCGTCTTGCAGCGCTTCCTACGTTACGTTAGAGGCTTATGCAGTACATGGCATGAGGCCTTCACATTGAAGCTCGGGTGCGCAATAATGAAGGAGTCAAGGACACTGATGTGATGAAAAATGGCGTATGCGCTCTATAGACTTTCCTTCGTGTCAGTCGCTTTCATGGCATTCTTCGACGGCGCACAAGTTTTTTTACATACATATATAAACACTGCTCAAGTTTTCGTGTAAACTGCCAACCGCCTCCTGCGTCCTGGGTTTATGTTGGCTGCCACGATCGATACTAGCGCTTCTTTATTGCAGACTTTTACACTGAAAATAGCGAAGCTTCTGACGTCCTTGCCCGAGCAGTGCCGCATCCCATCCCTACGGGAAGAGATGGTGCGTAGCTAAGCCGAGTTGTGCACCCACTCTCTTCATTGGAAAAACGCGCGGTGCGTGTCCAAAAGCCACGCACCGGCGCGATGAAGGCTTGACCAAACGCACCCATTGCAGCGCGTCCGCGCGTTTCTTTGTGTGTCTTTATGAGAGAAGGTGCGCAGCTTTGCGTAGCCACGCACCCTCCCTCTTCATGAGGAAAGGGTGCGGCGCTGCGTCAAACAGCCGCGCGCTTACACGCTCCAACAGATGCGTGTGGTCAGGCCTTAACAGTACACAGGAAGCATTTGTTGAAATGTTACCAAAGTGGTGCTCATGCGCATGTGGTTACGGACGCTCACGCAACAAGCTAAATTGAATTGAAAACTATGGTGGGACCCAATTGACTCGGTCTTCTCACGAGACGAAAGTGGGACATGGCGCTCTAAAGCCGTCTTCGAACAAGTGGCCATCGTGCAGTCCAGCACACTGGGGTTTCAATACTTGATATTAGTTTATTCCAGTTACCCATGCAATCAGAAAAGACAAGATCTAAATATGTTAGCGTCAGTACACCTCTAGAACTTCAAATGTCATATGTCGTCTGTAACGATGAGCACTTCATAACCGCGGCAATCTTCCGAGGCCCGGAGAATATGGTTGCCCGATGCTTGTTCGATGCTTGTATGGACTTAACTAAAGCACGTCAATGGGTTCAACAAACAATGCTGAAAACAACTGCGAGAACCGTACACTTGCTATGACCGCACGGTTGAAATATTTGGGAGTGAAATTTTTCAAGGGCGATAAATAGATTTGCTCGACAACGAATGAAGTCGATATCAAGAATAGCGTATTTATGAAAATTCCGACTTCAGTGAAACGGAAATCTCAACCCTCATTCATACGAGCAGCGTGGAAGTCCTTTATTTGAGATGTTCTACAGGCTGACGAACGTTGAAAAGAACATGAAATTAAGATTCCGCTCGAAAACAGCGTTCCGGGGACAGAAACTACGGATAATAAAACTGGACACTGTGTGTCAAAAAGAAAGGAAGAAGAAAATAAAGAAAGGAAAAAGAAAGACAGAAAGCAAGAAAGAAACGCAGTAGGCACCCCGCCATTTCTCGTATAGAGTGAGGACTTCTGAAATATTAGGATGTAGCTCGCATTTCATGGTAGGCCTGATGAAGAGCTGCATTGCATTGGACACAGGTGGGCACGTCATTCGGACACTGGGACATCGTCCGATACTCGTCATTTGCACTGTTAGTACTCACCCTCTCCATGACTTCCCTGATGATACCACTCCACTCTCCACGTGCGTTTACTACACCATAGGTACCGTCACGCACGAGGCGCAGTTCAAAGCGGAATCTAAGCAAAAGCGCCATCTGTCGCAGAATCTCGACGCAATATCCGTCCAACCTGTCTTCACCGGCTGATGACGTCTTCGAGTCCTTGCGCAACTAAACCCATGGTTCACTCTGCGCAACAAAGAGCAAAGTCGGAACACGACGTAAGGAACGAAGTATCGTATGCGCTAAAAGGCTTATACGAATCCATAGCCAAGAAACTGAGCAAAAACCTAAACCGGGTAGAGAGTAACGCTTTCGTACTTTACAACTTCTGATTTGTTCGATGTCAGGCACCTAACTCGAGGTTGACGAAAAAAGTTTCTTCACGTAACAGAATGTTTTATAAAAGTTTTTACTTTAAGGAATAACCTATTCCTCCAATATCTCCTCATTGTGAACTAATTGTGTGCTGATTACGTAATCAGACACATGCCACACTTTCTCGCAACGATGCCGTTTAGGAGGCTTTAGCAGTTTGCCAGGGCATTTGATATTTAGCATGGTAGCGTTTGCTACGGCCATTTGTGTACCAATTTATATTTACAAGCTTAACTGCGTTTTTCGTAATGCGCTATTTTATACCCGATCACGTTAGGAAATTTAGGACATAATATCACACAGCAAAAGGCGCACGTTGTTCTTGTCACATATATCTGATCTCGAGGAACATATTGCTTCATGCCTTTGTTTTATGAAGCCGATACCTTCCTTCATTGACAATTTCTAGCTGAGAAAATACTATTATCTCACATGTAGAAGGAGGCCATAATTTTGCCTTGCAGAAAAGTATCTTCCACTAATAACGGTGTGCCTGCGCCACACAGGTAACGGTGCTTTTTCAGAAGACTGAAAATTGAAATAAACTGTGAAAGATCCCTCAAAGTTTTCCTCCTCGAAAATTAAGACACACAGGTCGGATGTTGACTGTTGCACAGGACTCAGAAAACTGAAATAAACGATGTTTGCTAAATACGCTATCAGGTCATATACTATGCAGCACCGGAAGTCGCAAAAGATTTCAGTTCTAGGCTTGTGCCTTATGAGTATGGCTGTAACTACGGCTTGAGGAGACAGCGGTGTATATGAGGAATTCTTCATCAATTTTCGACCCTACCAACGTGTTTAAGAATGCTAGCAGTAGAAGGAACCGTCACCCTGAAAGGCACAAAACGTTCAATCGCTGAATTGTGGATTTGACCAGCTGGGACAAAACGACGGGTCACTATTATTTTCAGCATGGTATTTAAAGCTTGAACAGAAAACTATACCGGTTTGTTACAGTTGAGCATTTTGATAAGATATATGCACCTGAGAGAAATGTTCCTGCTTGATATGAGGTGCCCGTTACAAAAAAAAAATGTACGACGTGCGTATTTGCTTATCAAGACCTTCTTCAATACACGCACACTGGTTTCCCTTACGACTGTATGGGCCTTAAATCAGTGTCTCTCAAAAATTATGCTAACAATACACCTAAAAAGGCTCCGTTCACTTCACTAGAGCTTGTTCATGTTTGCCATAAAAAAACGTAGCCCTACATTCTGAAAAACTACGCGTACGATCATTGCTCCACATTCGACATTTGCAAGATAAAATGGTTTGACGGCCACTAAAATAGGTCGTTTAAATTTCCACTCTACCCAGTTTGATTTAAGCATTCAAGACGTATCTCTACAGCTCAATTAGCTAAACATATAGTAAAACTGTATTTGCACATACATACAATACATCTTCAATCGACCACATTTATACTAGACAAAAAAGTAACTACAAAAAAACTGAGTACGCACGACGATAGTAACAACGCGCAGTGTTTTATTGCGCAGTGTGTGAGCTACGTCCTCGTAAACCTCGCTTTGATTCTTGCTATAATGAACGCCGCTGCGTTCATCCCAGGTACCAACCTGAAAAAAAAAACAACAGGAAAGCGAGAAAAATATAGATTCTGTTTAAAAAAGCCATGACATGGTCATTCGAAACTACGTGCTTTTCAGCGAAAGCTAGAAGTAGAGTGGCTATTTTGTCTATATGTGCTTTCAGGGAAAGCTACAAGTACTGGGTCTTTGATGCCTTCAGCAGATACGAATATTGAGCCTTCAAAGAGCTTCACAGAGAAAAAAAATCCCTGGAAATCACTGGCTACATTCAATTCCGCCCTCCGCCAGCAGCC